CCATCGGCTGCCAAGTTGGAAGGACCTGATTGCTTCTCTAATCATAATGTAAAGTTTTAGTAAGCATTATGTACTTAGTAATTTTCTGTTGACATTGCATTTCTCTAATCTATATTGTTCTGCAGATTGAGATTTGTGACCTAGAACCCTCGAAAACTGAAATGGCCATGCCATACATGAATGGTGTCCAGTATAAGAAGCCAGGTCAACCAAAGTTCTCACCAGACAGCCATAGAGATAAGAGTAGGATAGAAAGGTCAGTTGACCGTGTTGGTACGAGTGGGAAGTCAGGTCCATCAGTGCTCTTGCTAACAGACAGCAGTGTTCGACATGCTCGTTGGTCATCAAAAAAGTGATCATGGAGTTGGAGATAAAGATCCTCCAATTGTTGGAGGATCTGATAAGACCAAGGAGGTAGTTACATTACATTTACACATAGTTCAAGAATTTCATTTGACATTTAAAAATTCTCTCATTTTGTGTATAGGAGAAAACTGTGGAACCAAATGTGGATAGGAAAGGAAAGGGCAAATTAGACCCAACTCATGATATCGTTCTGCCATATACTCTCGAAGCACCATCATTTGACTTGGGGGTTGGATCTACATAGCCTGACATTTTACATTCCGAAGACATTCAAAAGCATGTCGATTCTGTAATATCGGATGTGGTAACAGCAATTATAACCGTTGGTACCGAGGTATTTATAACTGCAGGATTCAGACATCATCTAGTTCACAACTAGTTAATTGTCATAGGTCACAGATTACACTTATATGCTGGATGTTCACATGTCATAGATCAAAACTAGTACATGGTTATAGGTCATAGTTCATGTGCAGCATGCTAAACTAAGATGTGCCTTATCACAAATTCAGGATTCACAAAATGCATGTACTAGTAAATGGCCATAGGTCACAGGTTACACATGTACTTACTAACCATTACACAGTCCAGTTCCAAGGTCACAGTTCATTTCCTGGTAGACTAGAGTTTATATGCTGTATGCTAAATTCAATAAATGTGCTTAAAGTAATCTGTGACCCGTTACAACATTACGCAGGACACAACTACTACTAAACCAACTTCTGAACTGCCAGTTAAATGGGTTTCAAGCCCTGCAAAAATATTGCAGTATCCATTTGTGGCTAGAGAAGGAAAGTTATTCAAGCATGACAATATTGTTGTTTTTGAAAACTACAAAGGTCGTGTTGATGAAGTTGATAGCTCAGCATTCATGGCTTAGTTCCAGAGAGGGTACAAACCAAGAACCAAGTACGTTTATTTCGTATCCATTATCAATAACTTGTTGTAACACAATAACTTACTTTTCTATATTGGTAATAGGAAAAAGTTTAGAGATGAAGATGGTAGAATCAATCCTACTTTTGTTATTGTTCATGCCTAGTAGGTCATAAGTCCTGGTTCTACCAACTTACAAATTCAGACTCATCTTTGACCAGTTCGGTATGATTACACTACTCTACTCATATAGGTCACATTTTCATTGCTAATTAGTCATGAAATGTATATACAGATCACAACACATAGTTATTACCTAATGTGCACAAATTGCAATCCATAGTCACAGATTACTATCCATAGTTCATAGTCACAGATCACAGATACATGGTTCATATAAACAGGTTATATTCCACATTACTGAGTTCTTCCCTTTTTATTGAAATAACACATGGATGCATGCTTTTATTACATTTGCTAGGTAGCAAAACTTGGCAACAAAGTGAAGCTTAGAGCCACAACGACTGATTCCTAGTTTCAGAATAAGATCACAGACATATACCCTGCTTTTCTGAAGGATTCCAATGCTCTGATGTCAGAGTCTAGCCTTACTAATGTTGTAATAGGTGACAGCCTTTCTTTGAGCACACCTTGGGCTGATGTTGACTATGTGTTCATACCATTACTGCCCACCACAAAGCTCACTGGATGCTTGGTTTGTAACAATTTAGAAGCCATGGGTTGATAGTTTTCAATTCGGCAGGCAAAAGTTACCGTGACTGGAAAGTTGTAAAAGGTATCGAGCTATCTGTGAAAATCTTGGCTGCTCTAATGAATAATCTTGGAATATCAAAAAAGGACCCCAATTATATTGAACCCAATTGCATGGAATTGAAGGTTACTGTCGATGATACCTTACCTAAGCAGACAAATGGGTAAGTTTGTGACCAAGAGTACAATGTGTATAACTTTTTAAAAAAACTCATTTGTAACATTTTGTCCTGTGTTGTTTTGCAGTCACGATTGTGGAATATTTGTGATCTTATATGCGTTATATATCCTCCGTGAAGGCAGAGAGTCCATTCTACATTCATTTGATGCTAACAAGTGTAGAATGGACATTGTCACACTGCTGTACAAGTATCGGGAGATGTACGTGAAGAGGGCGAAGCAGCCTATAAGGGAGGAGGGGATTGTCATAGAATGAAAGTAGACTGAAATATGTAAATGAAGTTGACGCTTTAATTTCTTACATGTTACAAATATTAGTATGTTCTGCCGAATGGAGGTGATTGTATTGAATACTAACTTGTTGCCGTAAGCTTTGATTTGCAATACATGAATGCAACATGTTTTTGCTCATAATATCGTATTTGTTACATATTATTGCAATATTTTCCATAACAAAAACATTACATTTCACAGGTCTTCCGTTTCACATATGACACAGGTCACATGATACACAGCACAGTACTTGTGACCTGTGTCATAGAACACAGGTGATAAGTACACAACACAAGGCATATCTCTGTTGGAGACGGTCACATGTTAAACCACATAGGACACAAGTCACATGTTATACCACCCATCATTTATATTTGATGGAAATTGTAGTCACATATGTCACTTTTTTTGAAAAAGTAGTCACATGTCTCACAACTCAGGTCACAGGTAGTCATGAGACACAGTTCAATCGAAACAGGTATCCCATCTGACACAGAACACTTGTCTGTTGGAGAAGGTTACGTGTTATGATACATATGTCACATTTTATGGTCCGAATGAAAGAAGTAGTCACATATATGTATCTCATACAACAGGTCACATCTAGTTATCAAACATCTTCAGAACTCAAACATAGGTCATCGTTTCTTAGCATAGCAACTATGTAGATGTCAAAACTCAATTGCACTTGAAAACAAAATGGTCACAGGTATATTTCACTCGGCTATTTCAATGAATGTTTGAATCAAAAGAACATGAGATATCTATAATGTATCTGTATTATCGGTTGAATTCTATTTTCATTTGTGTTACTTTCCTATGTCATTCTAGTTTAATTGAACCACACTCAAGCATCTCCTACGATTATGACCTTGTCCTCCACAACGACCACATTTCACTGTTGGTTTCCCTTCTCTGGATGATCTCTTCCTCTTCTCAGTAGGTCTTCTAGAACTCCTCTTCTGGTTAAGAGCTAACACAATTTTGGCTTGTACTTCTGTAGGCACTGTCCATTCATTCTAGTTCCCAACAGGATATATAGAATATTGGTATGCATTCACATAAGCATCTCCTGTGTAATAATAAGAACAGTAAGCATATGAATCTCTCCTTGTATTTGCAATTACAGCCAAGGCATGTGGACACGGTATCAAATCAACTTGCAGCGTACATGGACGTTGTTCAATATCAATAACAAATGTTGACTTTTCATCGCTAACAGAAAACACTGACCGGTTGGAGGGAGATACCTGAGAGAATGTAAAAACAGTTGTAGTATCATGTCACATTTATTATAAATATGTCACAAACATATATCTTATGTCACAGGTTAATATATTAGGTCACATGCATTTATATTCATTTTACACGCTTAGGTCCAGGTCACACATGCAAATGGTGCATACTAATATCTTCTGTCACAGATGTACAGCTTATGTCACATGCATTTATGGTGAGTCACTCACATGAATTTTAGTGTCAGAGTAATGAAGTTACCCTCAAGTGCCTTCTACACTTATTTTCCTCATCTCCTTCTCGTACTTGCTTGACAATTTCGTGAAAGTTCCATGTGTGTCATCTCTATGTTTACAAAACCAAGATTGTAAAGTTTGCCGCAATGACTCTAGCGATGATACTATAGGATAATTCTTGGCTGCTTTATCACAGCATTAACTGATTCCACGATATTCAAAGTCATTGTAGAGTATCTGTTTGCTGGCATATGGATTCGTGACCATTTTTCCAGTCTAACATCTGCCTACAAACACAAAGCTTATTGATTGATATCATATAACCAACATATGTGACCATTTTTATGTATGTGAAAATGTTATCAGATGTAGTACACTACCAGGTAATCAGTAATCTTCTCATTCATTGTATCCAGTCGTCACATGTAATATTCAAATTCTTCCAATGTGTAAGCACGGACAGTCGAATTGAATGCTTGTGTAATGTTTTCACAAGATTTCCCATAGTACGATTTCAAGTTTTGCAACAAATGATATGTACAAATACCATGAGAAGTCCTAGGATATACATATTCTATTGCGTGTTTTATACTCATGTGACGGTTTGATACAAAACACAGTCTGTCTCTGTGCCCATAAGCCTTCTTGAAGTTTTCCAAAAATCATCTCCAAGATTTATCGTTATCATTGTCTCCAATTCCAAAAGAAGAATATATATGCTGTTATTTGCATCTTGTGTACACGCTATGAAAATGGTACCTATGATGACCATTCAAGTAAGTGCAATCAACCACAACCATAGGTCTACAATGCTCCCATCCTTGTTTTGATGCACCAAGTGCCACAAAATAATATTTGAACCTATTGTGACTATCCACTTCTAGTTTTGTGATCGTGCCGAGATTCTTTTGTTGGAGCATGTAGAAGAAGCTTGGTATCTTACCAAATGATTCAGCTGGATCACCCCTAATCATTCTCAAAGTTTGTTTGCGAGACCTCCAAGCTTTCGAATAATTCAAATATACCCCGTAAGTATGCAACATATCACTGCATATATCCTTCGAAGTATAGTACATGACGATGTGTATTTATATTTAATGGTAGATGACACAACTGAAGTTGAGACTTGCCTGTGTGACCCGAACACTATATTTGATGGACATGTGTGACTACCAGTCTTTTGAACCTTAAATAGATTTGTTTTACCCCACTTTGACGATCTACATATCCAACTACATCCACGATGTGAACACTTCACAACATATTCTTTCTTGTCAGAACTTTCAACCATAAACTCAAACATGTTTTGTATGGTGAAAAGGGACAGGCTCAGTTTCAAAATATTCTTATCACGGAAGACCCTTCCTTCTTCTACCTCCCTAGCATCAGCTACCCATACAACTGTGACTTTAGTGTCACATATGTGACCCATTGTTTTAATTGATGCTTCGCATATGTCTGATACCATGTCCTGCAACGCACACAGCTCACCACTAGAATGTGCATTAATTGGCAATATGATAGATGTATTATCAATTTCTGTATCTGTAACATCAATGAATAATGGGTATTTGACAGGTTCACGTTCCATATCCTTTAGTAGAATGTACGATAGGACATTGTTATCATTCTTTATCCTGATTGGTGGCAAGTTATCATTCAGCACATACTTCAATGAGACTGCTACCTTTATGGGATCCAGATCAAATTCTCTCATAACCATGTCCACTAGCCGTACATAACTGCAATTGCAGTCTACCAATGCCAATGACGATTGAGATCCATTTATCAAACATATGTGCAAGTACACCATTTCTGCAAGCTAAAATTAACATCAATACTGGCCTTGGGATGAAAGTAATATGTATCAGGTCACATTTTCATGATAACTCAAAATTTTGAAAGCAAATGCAGGACACATACTTATCACATAAAATACAGTATATATGTGCCCAAATTGAATATCACAATGGGTGAAACATCGGTCACATTTTCAAACAAGTCAGTTATCTGCCACTAAATACATGTCACATACATATCAAATAGCATACAAGACACATATACAAATTACAGGTCATATATATATATATATATATATGAAACAAAGGTCATGTACTTATTACATACAATAGAGGCTACATGTGCTCAAATTGATAAGACAATGGGTGAAACATAGGTCACAGTTCATTTATTACCATTCTCATTTTTACACTTCAAATTCTACCCACTACACATAGTAGACGCATGAGTCATATACATGGAAAGTATGTAATATATGATTAGAGTATGTGTGACATGTAAATTACAAATTTATGTACATTATGTGACTGCGAAGTTCTTGTCGTGTCCAGCGCAATGAATGCAATTTCCAAGCAATTAGTTCGATTACAAGTAGTTTTGGCCAGCGACGATCAGCACTCGTTTGACTACCATTCAATTTTTCCCCCTGAAATTGTGAACGTAAGATCAATGACTTCCCATAGCATTCAATTTGTGACTACAACGTTCGAAGCAGATGAACAAAATAATAGGAATTTACCTGGATTGTCTTCTCCGGCTGGTATCTTTGGTTTATCAAATTTAGCGGTAATCTGTGAAGGGAAGTATTAGAATTCAGTTAAATCTTCGAATTTGTTACCGAAATTAATCGGCACAGTTACCTCCTTCATCGTGAAAACTTGAAATCCATCTGAATTTTTAATTTTGGAATGTGGATTTGTATTTGGAGGAAGTCCTATTCTATGGGGAAAGTGATCTTAAATGAATGAAACAGAATATATATATATATATATATATATATATATATATATATATATATATA